TCGCACTCCGCCTTGATTTTACTATTTATCATTCAGTTATCTATGGCAGATTTAAGATTTTTGATGAAGTGAGTCACTTTTATAAGTATTGTATGACGTCGTATTTACAATAGCGAATAGTTCTCGCTGATCAGTGAGACGAAGCCTATAAAGGTCCCCAGCCGCCCCACTGGCCACGGCTCCAGGAAGGCTAATTATATTTTATTTATTATGTATGCTCTCTCCTGAGTCCAGTCTCCTTGATAAGTCGAGTGGGATCAAAAAATAAAAAATAAAAATACAAATACCGTCGCTGACCAGTTCCCGTTGGCCACTGAGTTTAACCAGTTGAAAATACTACCGAGTAGTTGAGTACTACTCTCTCATTTACTACTAATAAATACACAAACACACAAGAAGAGAGAGAGATTGTGAGAAATAATTATTGATTACAAGTCACCAAACAGTCAAACTCACAAAGACACAAACTGTCAAACACTCGAGCAGATAGTCAAACCTGAAACCGCTGAAACCAGGCTGAATTGTTGATTGCTGAATGTTTGAAAGTGTGAAACAGTGAATGACTGAATGAGTGAAACTTTAAAAAAAAGAGACTAAAAAGTTCCTTCTAAACTCGAAAGTGCCAAGTGCCAAGTGCCAACTTGCCAAGTAGGCCAACTTGCCAAGTAGGCCAACTACCCACCAGTGCCTACTCCGCCTCGAAGTCTCACCCACGGGCTTATCTCATTACGTTTCCCGTTTAAACGCAAAATAAGTAATTAAGCTTTTACGTTAAAAGTTTATCCATATACTATTTTTTGAGGCGGCTTAAGTTTCACGAATTGTCCTATTTTCCACTTTATATCAGTTGTGAATAGTTTCAAAACGCCCTTTCATTTTAATAAAGGTCAATTTCTCAAGTGCAAATTTGGAAAAATTTCATGGTCGATTTGCCCCCGATATACTTTAAAACGCGTGAGAAACAAAACTTTTTGCGTTTACGTTTAAATAAAAACCCTAAACTCCAGCCCACGGGCCACAGACCAACAGTCCAACACCTTGTGCCTTGTAGCGGTCTGCAGCCTACTCTCTATCTAAAAAATCGGCAATCGGACATTCTTTTTCACTCCAGTATGTATCGATTATGATTTATGCCCTCTCCGATCTTTTTTTGATTGGGCATTTGGGGATGTTGGCTATTCGATCTGGTTGGGTTTTTATTGTTTTATGTAAGAATTCAAAAACATAAAAATAGAAAAAACCCGATATGGAGTCATAACTCATCATAACCCACTCAATAAAATTTATAAAAAATTTATGTCTCAGTGTTATATTAAAAATACATAGCCTTCTAAATTACAGTCAAGCTATATATATATTTTATTAATATTAAATTTTATGGGGTTTTTATGTTCTTTTCAGAGGTCCAGTTTTTAGTTTTATGTATGACTCAGACTTTAGAGTCTCGGACTGTACGACTAAAACCCTAAACCCTATTTCATAGCCTCCTAAATAATAAATTGAACAAGAGTATTTATGTACTTATTTACTTTTTCTTCTTCTTCAATTTTAGAGTGTTCTATTACAAAAATAAAAAGCAAAAAGAGTTTGTTTTTCTGCTGTCTGTAGACCTGGATCTGCACTCTGCACTCTGCACTGAGGCTTGGCCCTGAACCTATATTTAACCAAGGGCCGAATGCCCTGGGCCTGAAATCCTGATTCCGGAACAGGCTGAACTTCTGAATGCTGAAGTCTCAAAGTCTCTCAGTCCTCAGGGCTCAGAATCTCAGATTAGGACACTTTGAGAGTTGAGTACATATTTATTTATTTTAGTGACTTGACAGTTGAGTCAACTTGAGTGTTAAAACACAAGTTCTCGAGAAATCTTAATGCCACCCCTGTAACAGCCGCTTAAACCGCCACCTACAGATAGAGCCACCTAAATTTACCACCATTGTAAGAGCCACCTACATTCACCACCTACGCTTTTAGGGGTTTAGGGTCTAAAAACCCTACACGATACCATAGTATATGTACTGTACGTATTTAATATTTATGATTATGTATTTATTGTCCTCGCTCTCTTTAATTTGCAATCACCACGAATATAGCTTCTTTCTGGCGAAGAAGACTCTCGACTTCTTCCCGTGTTACCTAATACCATTCGCCAGAGTTGAATGCTTGGTATGTGTTGTAGATCAGCTCAATTGCATAAAATCGCTAAGGGTTAATATTGTATATATACGAATGTATGTATGTATGTATTTATGCATGTATGAATTATACATACATACATATATATATAAATATATAAATATATATAGATCAGCTCAATTGCATAAATCGTTAAGGGTTAAAATTGTATATATACGTATGTATGTATGTATGTATTTATGTATGTATGAACTATATATATATATATATATATATATATACATATATACATATATACATATATATATACGCATGTATGTATGTATGTATGTAATTATGCACGTTAAGTATATATATATATATATATATATATGTATGTATGTCTCTATATATATTTATACGCATGTATGTTTGTATGTATGCAATTATGTATGTAAGTATTTATATATATATATATATATATATATGTATACATATACATATACGTATGTATGTATATTTATAATTATATAAGTATATATATATATATATAAATTTATTTTATATAAATATAAATATATATATATATGTATATATGTATTTATATAATATATATTATATATATATATATATATACGTATGTATGTTTGTATGTATGTATTTATGTATGTA